TATTGTTTTCCTCTATTTCTTTGCATTGATCACTGAGGAAGGCTTTCTTATCTCTTCCTGCTACTCTTTGGAACTCTGCATTCTTTGCTTTTTGCTTCTCCTCACAGCTATTTGTAAGGCCTCCTCAGACAGCCATTTTGCTTTTTTGCATTTCTTTTTTTGCAGATCATCTTTATCCCTGACTCCTGTACAATGTCACAAACCTCCGTTCATAGTTCATCAGACACTCTATCAGATCTAATCCCTTGAATCTATTTCTTACTCCCACTGTATAATCGTAAGGGATTTGATTTCAGTCATACCTGAATGGTCTAGTGGTTTTGCCTAATTTCTTCAATTGAAGTCTGAATTTGGCAATAAGGAGTTCATGATCTGAGCCACAGTCTGCTCCCAGTCTTGTTTTTGCTGACTGTATAGAGCTTCTCCATCTTTGGCTGCAAAGAATATAACCAATCTGATTTTGGTATTGACCATCTGGGGATGTCCATGTCTTCTCTTGTGTTGTTGGAAGAGGGTGTTTGCTATGACCAGTGTGTTCTCTTGGCAAAACTCTGTTAGCCTTTGCCCTGCATCATTCTGTACTCCAAGGACAAATTTGCCTGTTACTCTCTGTGTTTCTTGACTTCCTACTTTTGCATTCCAGTCCCCTGTAATGAAAAGGACATCTTTTTTGGGTGTTCGTTCTAGAAGGTCTTGTAGGTTTTCATAGAACCATTCAACTTCAGCTTCTTCAGCGTTACTGGTCGGGACACAGACTTGGATTACTGTGATACTGAATGGTTTGCCTTGGAAATGAACAGAGATCACTTTGAATAAGGAATACAGAAATATTAGCTGAAATCATCCTGACTTCTTGTGTAGACAAGAAAGACAATGACTCTCCATTCTTCCAGTAATCTGTTATCACCACAAACTAGCCAAATGTGAGAGACATCTCTCTAATTCCATGATGGCCTCATCCCAGAGAATCTAAACTGAAGACCCTCACAAGGCAATGAAGGCCTCAATAACTGTCAAGTGAACTGTCTGTGTTACCGCAGAGCCTATATCTCATTTATCTGGATCAATTGTACTGTCTGAATTCTCAAGCAGCCTGCTCTACCTGCTTTTAACTTGGCTAAAGTATTCTCTGAATCTTAATGTGTGCTTCCCTGCTTAAAAACTGTATTAGCTTCCCACATCCTTGGGATAAAATCTACCAAATTCTTAGAGGCTCAGGAGGTCCTTTAGGATGAAGGTATGGCCTATCATTCTTATCCAATCTCCATTTCTCAAGAACCAGCAATGGAGGATTTCTTGCACTAAGCAATGCATTGGCACATACTATTCTTCCTGCTTGAAATACATTTTTTTTTTCTCCTGGATAATTCTTAACCGCTTGCTAGTTTCTTACACAGGTTTCTCCAAGGGAGTAGGTGCCCCTCTGCTTTTCCATAGCACATACTATGTGTGTTCTCAGTCATGTCTGACTCCTTGGGGCCCCATGGACTGTAGCCCACCAGGCATCTCTGTCCATGAGATTCTCCAGGCAAGAATATTAGAGTGAGATGCAATTTCCTACTCCAGAGAATCTTCCTGACCCAGGGATCGAACACCCATCTCTTAAGTCTCCTGCACTGGCAGGTGGCTTCTTTACCACTGCGCCACCTGGGTAGTACATGCTACATAACCCCGTAACAATTATATTACACTGCAATAATATTTCTCAACTGGAGGGCAAGGAATGTCTTTTTTCTGTATTCTGTGTTCAGCACTGAGTGTGACACTGAGTAATGTCACTGAATAAACAAAGAGACAAATATATAACAAAAGGAGAGATGGGAGAGAGAAAGTGATTCTGAGTCCAATTTCAGTGGAAGAAATCTACTCCCCACTCCCCCACTGATTAGTTTAAAAGATTTTATGGAAAAAAACGGACCTCTTCAAAAGCAGTTAAATATGGTCAATAGTAATACTGGCCATATTAACTGAAAACTAACTGAAAAATCCCATGTCCTGCTAATGAATATTCATAACAAATGGGGGAAAAATTACACTGTGTTGGAAATAACTGTGTACTTCGGGGTCAAGTTCAGCATCTTCATTGCAGAGATGAAAAAGTATGGGCTAAAAGAAATGGACCTGAGATTGTTAGGGGAACTTTGATAAAGGATATGGCTGTGGCTCTCCTAATGTGGCTCAAAGTTGATAACCACTGAAACAGAACTTTTAAAACTAGAAAAAGGAATTTTACATTAATTTACAGTGGCTTAAGGAGGAGTAAAAAGTGTGATTAAAAATATAAGCAAGCAGGGAAAATTTCAAGGCAAAAGTGGAGAAAGCTCAGTACTGTGTTGTTAGTATCACAAGAAACAATGAAGATTTTGAGGATTAAAAATGTTAAAGGTGATATCAACCAAAAGATGGAGAATATATTAACAGATCACTCTTAATTATTCATGTCCATGAAGAGAAGTAATTGATATCTTGAGTCACCTCTTTTTTGGTTTTGCAGTAAAATGTATGATTTTCCCTCTCAGTACTTCTTTTTTTGTTTATGGTAATATCAACATTTGAGGTAAAACTAGTAAAGTACTAGAACAGTTGTGGCCACTCAGGCAACTCAAGAGTTAATTATTCTGGGTTCTGTTTTCTCACCTGTAAAACTGGTTGGATTATCACCATCTCAAAGATTCTTTTTAGAAACTATGAATCCATAAACACTGCTTTGCCAAAATTAATCTAGAATTAATTTCAAGAATATGTCTAGTTCATCTAAATACCTTAACACTGTTACTGGTATTTTAATCTGCTCAGCAACTTCAATTAGTGAGTCAGACTCCGTCTCCAACTTCAATAAATATATTTACATTCTTAGTTAAGAAATACAGGCTGCAGTGGAACAGATGGCAATTCCTGCAATCTGAAGTGATTAAATCTGGCTGCTGCTGCTGCTGCAGCTAAGTCACTTCAGTCATGTCCAACTCTGTGTGACCCCATAGACGGCAGCCCAAAGCTCCCCCATCCCTGGGATTCTCCAGGCAAGAACACTGGAGTGGGTTGCCATTTCCTTCTCCAGTTCATAAAAGTGAAAAGTGAAAGTTAAGTCGCTCAGTCGTGTCCGACTCCTAGCGACTCCATGGACTGCAGCCTACCAGGCTCCTCCATCCATGGGATTTTCCAGGCAAGAGTAC